TACATGAGACATATACTCAACTGAAAACATGGTAACATACTTAATAATTTAATAATCTATAAATATAATGTGAATTCAGACGAGACCCGTGCGATAGCACGGGTTTGTTACTAGTATGACATTAAAACACAAGTTATCATGATCTTAAATTTTTAAAAAATTATTATATTATTTTTTAGTTATTTATTTATTTTTCAAAAAAAAAGCTTCTGTGCATTAATACATAAATTTAAGGCTAAATTATAATTTTAAGTCTTTTTTTTTTAATTAATTCATAAAATCAATTCTTCTTTTTTAATTAATTCATGTAATCAATTCTCCTATTTATTTTTAAATAATTTTGATCTTCTTTCAGACATATGAACTCAAATTTACTGATATGTTTTTTTTAACAATGTGTCACTTTATTTTTTGATGAGTCACAATCCAACTATATTAATGATTGGCATGTTATTTTTATAATTATATAATAGAATGAAAAAATAAAAAATAACAAATATATAAAACATAAACAAAAAATACATAATTAAAATTAGTCCTTATAAGTTTTTTTACAAAGTTTATCCTTTAAGTAATACAATATTTTGATCGTTACCAATTTTCATTTAACTCTATTAAAATAGACTTACGTAAAAGTTTAATGTTGAGATGATACAATTTTAAATTCTCTACAAACCTAAAGATAGTTGTTCCTGCATAGACTATTTACCACATCTGGTGTGCTAGAAACAGATGTATCTTCCAAGACAAAACTACAAGAAAGGTTGTGAGTAGAGACATTATTGATGTTATTTTGTGGAGAGTGGAGCTTGATAAGAAATTAACTATGTTTTTCCATAGAAATCGATGTTTTGTAATTGTGTGGTTTAGTTTTTTTTTGGTGGCTTGGATATTTTTTGGAATAAATTTATTCTCTTTTGCTCCAAAAAATTTTTTATTAAAAAATATACTTAAAATTCAAAAATTAAAAATTTACCGTCTTCAATCACATCTTTATATTTATCTTCATCTTCAATATTTTAGATGAAAAAGTAAAGAAATATATAAGTAGCTTTGTGCGTTATCATAGAAAAGGAACAATAAGAGCAAATATTTTAATAGAAAAAGAAACTTTAAAACTTGAATGGTTTGAAACGTTTTTAAGAGGTGAATACATATGAGAATGTGTTTCTTTGATTAGGGTTAATTTTAAGAAGATAATAATGGATAATGGAAGCTAAGTACAATGAGTGTAATGCAATTAAGGTTGATGATGGTGGAGAAACTTTTACATAAGATGTATTATATAAATTCAAGGATGAGGGTGACATTAGTAGGGTTCTTTAAGACGAAGTTAATGGATTTAGGAAAAGAAATTAAGATAACCCTAACAGCACGTTTGAACAACCATTTCTAATAGGCAACCCCTAACAACGCATTAAGACAATCATTACAAAATTAGAGATCATTCTTGAGTCAATATTTATGCAAGGGAGTTGCCCATAGTAACACATTTAGACAATTATTTGCTAGTGCGATGTGCTTCCTCAGACGCTTTACCAGGGTTAGTCCCAATAATCTGACTATCATATGAACCTCTTCCTCTTGCCCGATCTTCCTGTGGTTTAGTAATTTATCCATGATGGGAAGATGCAGTAGGCATGAAACATCATCCAAAATAAAGGTCATCTCGCCTATATGTAGGTGGAAAAAAGATGTCTCTGAGTGTCACCTCTCTGCAAAAGTCCCCTGCACGTCGTGGTTTATGGTCACGTATGTAAAGGAACATAAACCGACAAAATCGAAATAGCGGATAACATCTCTAAACCAACGACCAAATGGTTGTGGAAACTGCAATATCTTCCTAATGTGGTAAATAAATTTCAAACAATCATGCTCCTGAAAAAATAAAACATAATCAATATTGATTTAATTAGTTGACAACATATTGGAAAAGAAAATAAATATACCTCTTTATTTCATACACGCCTAACAATATGCTTTGCATAATTATAAAGTAAGGAGGTATCATATAATCCTACTGGATAACTCTCCGACGAGGCTTCCTCCATGAGTTCCTCCTCGGCTTCAGAGGCTTCAAGGTTGATAGGGGCCTCTAGATCCTCAGGTTCTACTGCCTGAGATGCCTGACAGAGTCGACTACGACTATAAGAACTAGCCAACCAGGACTGTGAAGAAGATGGAGCATCAAACGAGTCACCAGTAACTCGTGGTCTTGTGGTCCTGGCAGCAGCCCTTTCACGTCGTACTGACGCAGTTTAAGACACAAGCTCAACCCTAATTCGACCTTCATTATTGTCAGTCATTGCACATGCATTATAAACACACAAAAATCTAAACAAAATGTCTCATTTTTCTAACTCAGCCCAATCTGAAGATGCATCTCCGAAAATAGTCCAGGACAAATCCGGAGATAGATCTCTAGACCTAACTATGATTTTCAGCATTCACGGCAGATCCTTTTTCTGCCCTAATAGACCAAAAATCCTCATTGCTTAACGAAATAGACTATCAATTTCGTTTACACCAGTACCTAATGTATCTAAAACAATTAATGCATCCTAAAAAACTAACTAAAAATCAAAACATAAAAAGAAAATAGGGTTAATATCCATTTTCCCCTGTCATATCATATGAGGTAAATTCAGAAAAACAACCATGTAAAAAAACATGGTCAACAAAATCTGTGATATGACGCTTTCATGTGACTTTTTAAAAAAAAATTATTTGTTAACATAATTTACGACGTGACACTTCCATGTGATGTTTTTAATGTGACGAGGAGGTCATTTTAATTTGACACTTCTATATTAGAAGTTAAACTCAGGACATATGAAAGCACACAACCACTAGGCCAATAAATTTAATTAAAAAATTAATGTTATCTTAAATACTTAACCATTTCATTAAAAAAAACATCTTATTTTTAATATTTATTTGATAGTTAATAAGTATAATATTTTATTAAACAATTATACTTTTGATTTTTTTAAATAATAAATATTAAAATATATTTAATATTTATTTTATTTACTAATGATTGTTTAATAATTTTTTTTTTACTTTCTATTTAATTTTAATTTTAATTTTTTAATAATAGTTAAATATTAAATATAATTGTTTAATAAACAATTTAATATTTAAAAACTATTAAATAATTGTGATTGGAATATTTAAATAATAAATATTAAATATATTTTTATATCAAATATTAAATAAAAATTGGAAGTATAAATTTAAATAGTTTAATAGTTTTTAAATATTAAATTGTTTATTAAACAATTATATTTAATATTTAACTATTATTAAAAAATTAAAATTAAAATTAAATAGAAAGTAAAAAAAAGTGTGATTGCAATATTCAAAGAACAAAAATTAAAAACGTTTTTATTATTTAAATATTTTCATTATAATATTATAAAATGTATATCTAAATAACATTTTTAAAACTGTTAATTAAAAAAATTTTAAAATGTTTAAATGTATCATTTATAAATATATAATCATTTAGAATTTAATAGTTAATTTGTAATAATCTTACATTTAAATAGGATATTATAGCAAAACAGAAGACGTGGCCTAGCGAATGGTCATGCATAATAATGGAAGAGCCATAATCCAAAAATAAAATTATTAAGTATGTAATATATGTATTTGAGGAGACAATAAATCATAAAGAACAAAATCGTCTAATGATAGGTGTCTCCATTAATAAGACTATGGAGAATTTTGGAATTTTAACCTTTTAAATTCTTCAAATTAAAAAAAAAAAGAAATAAGAGTCACGTGGAATATAAGAAAAGAAAATTAAAATAGGGAAGTTCTCTTCACAACCATGTCAACATTAAAAAAATTAAAAATTAAAAAAAGTCACATAGAAATGCCACATCATAGATTATATTTACCAAATTCAGTTAGTGACTAAAATAGAGGAATTTTGAAAGAAATAAGAATAAAAATCTATGGTTTTTTTTTTTTACTTTTCTGAATTTGCCCCATATAGCAGGGGAAAATGGATATTAATCCAAGAAAATAAAATATGAAAAATTATCACGGAAATTGATTTATGAGAATGAGTAGGACAGATGTTATGAGATACTGAAAAGAACTCCAAATAAGTTTGATTGAATGGATGTAGAGGGTGCTGACGTGGAATATGAACAAATAGCGTCCGAAAATACATCTTCGGACTACCCACTTACATTTGAATAAATGATATTTATCAAGATGTATCTTTGGACGTACATATTTGTACTATTTCTCAATTTAAGTTGAAGAGGCGTCCTTGTTATGTTAAAAATGAATTCGGAGATGTATCTCCGTAGACTCTCTGAATATTAGAGATAAAATAGACTTTTCACAATGGGGTGGGAGATCTATAAGGATAGAATATGGAAAATGTAATTGTTATGAAAACAATAATGACATATATAAGTGTAACTACAATTTCATATCATTATTCAAAACAACCTATATTCATATGAGTGAAAGCATGTCCTCAGCATGATTCACTTACAAAAAATTCTTCAAAACAACCTATATTCATATGAGTGAAAGCATGTCCTCAGCATGATTCACTTACAAAAAATTCTTCAAAACAACCTATATTCATATGAGTGAAAGCATGTCCTCAGCATGATTCACTTACAAAAAATTCTTACAATAATATATACTATAGATAGCTAATTGTTGGTGCATAGCTTTAGTTATTGAACTACTTTGAATCAATCAATCAGCAAATAAGTGAACTAAAAAAATTCCTTGAATAGATGAATTTCACCAGTCTACCACACAGTATAATAATGAATCTTTCTGTACACAATCTATATGTTTACAAAAGAATTCCTCCCTAGTGAAGAAAAAACCATGAATCACGGCTCTTCTTTTTCTTTTTGCTCATAAAATGAGTTTTAGTTAGCAAAGCCATAAAAATAACACCATATCACATAAATTTGATCTTCAAAATAAGCAGGCTACGCTGAGAATGAACTCATAATAGTCTATACAGGTTGATGAACACGCATATTCTCGTGAACGCTCATGACGACATTGCGCAATTCCGGGAAGATGGATATAAGGAGAAGTTCAAGGATTGCATAAGCAAGTTGCTTCACACATACAGAAGACTACAATGACACGAGACATCGTAATTGTTAGTTCACAAGAAAATAAATAATAACAGCAACAATCAAACCTTATCCCACAAAGATAACAGAAAAAAGTTTATGTAGCGATTCTACGCCAAGTGAATAAATCTAAGGAAATGATTTTGATTTTAGGAATCAAAATGTATTTTTAAGTTATAAATCAATGAGTGAGAACTTTAACCTGACTAAAGTAATATATATCACTGGCACAACGTTTGTACTGCTTCTGGCCGATTAAGCTAACTAATGCTGCCGGAGCTCCATCTGACAAAAATGGAGAAAACTTAAAATGTCAAAACCTTGAACTTTGTATACTTTTCACCTTAACTTTCACTAGGTTGTGAAGATCACACAAAAACATGAAAATACCATAAAATTGTTTCAGCAAATTCTATCTAGTTCACAAGAAAAATGAACTAGCTTTTGAGGTTGGGTCAAGCCTAAGTCCAAATTCCGAGATAGAAAAATGAAATCTTAAAATCCAAAAAGAGCAAGAAATCCAATAATCCATGTCAAATGAATCAAGACAAGCAGTACAAAAAATAGAACTAACCAAAGAGAAGTTTCTTCACGTCACTTGCTCTACGAGCAGCTTCTAATTGTTCCTCGAAATACCCTCCTGATTGTGATTTACGCACATTACTTCCTCCAGATTCACTTTGTAAAGGATTCTGATCAATTACACCACCACCGATAAACAACTGAGGAGTCTGGATTCTTAAGAAAAACGTGCCACCAGGCCAGAGGATCTGCATGCATAAGTAGACAACATGAAAACATTAGGATAAGCAACATGAATGAGGTTGCAGAATGTAAGTTTTGGAAAGAGGGAAATTAATTACGACGTAGATGTGAATTTTGGAGATTATACTATATCTTAAGCCACATAATTTAAGTATCTTGCATGAAACATAGAGTATCATATTGCTAATACACATTTTCTTATAAAATAAAAAAACATTTTTAGTTGGCAAACAATATCCCTGGGAAATTTTGGCTTAATCCTTACATCTTGGATCCACCGAATTCCTTGGACGATGGTTTCCTCTCTCCTGAGCCAATGAATCTCTCTCAGGAGTAAATCGTCAATTGCATCTTCCATGACCAACTGCAGTATCTGTTTTGATATCCAAAAGACCTGTCTTCTGCATGAATAAAAATGAACTAGCATTACACTTGATACTTTTCTCAATCAACGCCTTTTATCCCAAAAGCAACAAAATTTCATGCAAGTTACAAAAGATTGAAATCTTACTATGTCGTATTAAAATTTTAATTAATAACGAGAGGGTTCAAGGATCAAACTGCCGTTTTCATAATTCATACCATGTCAAGAACCGTCAGAAAAAGTAATATACCTTAGCCATCCTCTTTTCTTTAGCTGAAATATATTGTCGACCAAGTTCAAAATAGGGACACTCACATTAGGGGGAGTCCACTGCAAAATGGTTAAAACTTTACAGGTTCGTAAAATGTTTTTGAAAGTAAAAGAAAGAAATAAATTTATCGACTGGTCTCTGTAACTTTTGTAAATGTTCGAACCCAAATGACTACACAGACCTCAGGCGGCACTCCAATTGGGTCGTCCGGATTATCATGGATTAGATTTCCATTTGTAGTTGGAACATCCTTGCTAACCTTTGTTTCCATCGCAACATCGAGTTTTCTATCAAGATCCAAGTTACCAGGCGCATTACCATGGTTTGTTACCCCTTGTGAACATTCCTTCGAGCTCGGTTCATTGTCAGAATGCCCCGCGCTATCTTCTCCTACTTCTCTATCGATATTCTCACGTGCATGATTCGATTCTTTTTCACCTTCCTCATTATCAGAGCTCAACACACTGTCTGCACCACTTTTCCTTGGAATACTACTATTAGTATCCATTTCATCCATGTTCCAAGTGAAAGATGTAGAAGAGCCTTCAGCAGGAGGGGATGATGCAGTGACAACTTTTCGCTTTAAATCATCTGAAACACCTTTAAACTGCCGTACAATATCGTCCACGGCATCGTCTACATTGACTGCCAGGGTCCTCATCATTGAAGAAGATTTCCCAAAAGAGTAATTCTTCCAGAGGAAAACAGCAGAAAAGTTTGTTAGATTCTCATTCTTCCTATCTATAACGGTCACTCAAATGATGTTACGATAAGAAATATCAAGGAGATGCAAACCTTTGAGGAAACACTTAAGAAGTCCCATACTTCGTGTTGTTCAGCTACGTTAGCTATTGATAGGAGATCCTAAAAAAGACGGCGTAATTGAGCAATGACAAGGAAATAAAAAGTTACAGTGGGAAATATTTCTTTAAAGAGTTGTAGGCAACGACGAATGAGCATACATGGAGATATTTATCAAGTTGAATGCAACGCTGATGTACAAAGGCATCTTCTGTGCTCGAGGAAAATATCCTTTTGGGAGGCAAATGTAATGTGTAATTGGGAATATGTTTTAGATGTCGATGCAATCGCTCAAAGTTCCTGTATCTAAATATCACCAAAAGAAAACTCAGTGATGCCGTCGCCAACGATCAAATATAAACATGAAACAACACAATGTTGAAACTCTATCATATTTATTCTCTATCAAGAATAAGTTTCAACTAATATATGGGAAAGAGAATGTTTCAATATAAAATGTTAAAGTGATCCTAATATTTGATTGTATTGATATCAAAGTTCAAAAAAGCGAGCCTTATACCTTCGTTTTACAAACCATGTTTTTTCTTGCCCGTCGGTCACTGCGATTGAATATACAGCAAAAGAAGTGGCTCCAAGTTTCTCAAAATAGGCTCCCATCACCTGTAGTGTACAATTAGACAATAAATAACAATCAAATTAGTTTAAAACAAGTGTTCATAAATCAATTACATTTTATAGGTTCGAATCATATACTATCTCTAGTCCCAATTATAAGAAGAAAAACCAAAAAAACAATCAAAACAATGATTTTTGTTTATTGTTGTAGTTTTTGAATGTTTTTCCAAATATACTTTCATTCAACAATTGATGTATCTAGTCCATATAGAATCCAGATACATCAACTGTTGAATGAACCAAGAATGTGAAATTTGCTCATAATAGTGACCAGAGAGTGTATGTTACAACTATTTTAGTCAAAGGTGCATACCCGACACCGAAGCTTTGGAACACCTTGTCCCTCTTTCCTAATAACCATGTCAGAACCAGTCTTTCCCCGCAACCCTTCACGCTTCTTAAAATCAGGGGAGTTGCACTCTGACACATTGACCCCGCCTTTATGTGAAGGGACTCCCATTTCAGAACCAATCTTTCCCCGAAAACCTTCACGTTTCTTAAAATCAGGGGAGTAGCACTCGGACACATTGAGCCCTCCTTTATGTGAATGGGTTCCCAAGACAGAAGTACTTTCGGTTCTCCTGAGATGAAGTTTATGTTTACTAGAACCAAGATCCTTGATATCACTCACTTCATCAACATGTTGATGATCTCCTTCAAAAGATAAATTCTTGCCATTATCTGCTGAAGACTCCAATGCAGCTGCAATTACATTATATAGTGTGGGATCTGAACCCACAGTATGCAATGTTCCACCAGGTTTATTCACTGATGTTTCATGAGTGAAATGTTTGTCAAAAGGTGAATGATCTGCAGAAGAATGTTTTGCATGAGATCCAGATTTTGCATTTTTACGACTTTTCTTTCTGTAATTCCTTCCTCTTGCCCACATGTTCTCAAGATTCTCAGGCATAAGAACTTCGGTTCTTCTCTGAGTCGCAGCGTCTAACATTTGTGCCCAATCAGAAGAGGATGCCTGATTAATATGATTGTGAGTCGTAGCATTTGAACTTTGATCCCAACCGCGCATCCAACTTATATCCCCGTCATTAAGGAATAGTAGAAGAGACTCAATCAGCTCATTGATATACCTGGCATAAAGAAAAATATGTTTTTACAAATGGAAATTGCAGTATTAAACAAACGAGTCTGACCGAAATGAAATGCAAGACAACATTTAGCAACATACGCAGGGCATGCCAAATTCATTAGAGGTTGCAATATCAAGCATGTCATAATTTCCCGAGCTATTGATCGAACGACAGGAACATGAGCTTCTGGTTTTCTTAGTACCGTAGCTAGTACTCCACTCATTAACCGCTGAAGAACCTAATAAAGAAAGAGAAGTCATTAGATAAGGTATGAGATGTATGAATTCTTCAAAAGCTAATTAAAGATAACATTCAGACACTCCACTCACACCTTGTACTCACTCTCTGGAGATATAAGTGCTGGATGAAGCTCCTTCGAGTTCAAAAGATGGAATTTCAATCTTTCATCCCTCTCCTCAGAAGACAATGTTAACATAACATCAACACCTATAGCAGCTTGATTCCTTCTGAAGAGGTCTATATGATCACTTATTAAATCAACTATATCACTGCAATGAAGCGAAATATAAAACAATTAGTGATTTTTTAAGTCTTATCTAGCACTACCTCTGTCTTTATAAGCACAGACACCTGAAACACCACACGGACACCGACACGTCAACACCAGTAATAATTTGAAAAAATAAATAAAATAAACATAATTATAAGTGTCGGTATCGGTTTCGGACATTAACACACCTTTTATTCAAAGGTGTCGGTGCTATAGAGGTCTTAATATAAGAAAGTCAATAACTCCCTAAATCAATATACCTTGTGAGCAAGTCAACAATGTTAATCTCTCTAACCCTAACCGAGACTTCAGCAATAGCGTCCATGATTAAGTCGCGCATCTGCTCAGGAAACTCCCCATCTGAAGTAATGTCTGCATACCACATATTTATAACGAAATCCTTCAATATTAAATCAATGAAATCGTTCAAGGCAGCCTCCACTGCAGGAGAATCAATCTTTTTCTTCCATTTGGGAGGGGGGAGTGAAGTAGAGATGCGCTCATGGTCTAGAGGCAGCTGTTTTTTCTCCAAATGAGATAGGTAAGTTTGTAATTTAGGTGACTGAACCTTCCAACGAAACTCCACCTTGTTCACAAGAATCCTCAAACCAGCCAAAAACAGAATGGAAATTGGTATATTCATCCACATTGATTTACTTGTATCTATAATGAACAACAAAGAAAATATAAACAAAAAGAATACACTTTACGGTCATAAAGCAAAACCCACATACCAAAACATCAAATGTGAATGAAAGACTCAAACTTTACGTAGTTAGAGAAAAACCCAGATAGAAAAAAAAGCAAATGCAGCAAAACCTAATCGCTAGATTGAACAATAAATGACATGAAAGAAATGGAATTGGAATGACGTACGAGTCAAGAAATAGGAAATGGCGAAAATACAAAGAGACCACCAGAGAGAACGGAGCTTAGCCTCTTCGATGAGATCAAAGATGGTATCCATGGTAAGAGGACCCATCTTCTTCTTCTTCTGTGTTGTGTATCTGAAAGCGAAGTATTTGACACCTTCAAATGTTGCATAGCGCTAACCTCGCTCTCTTTCTCTTGTTCGGTTTCAGTTTTGGATGGGAGAAATTAGTAAAATCATACTTTCCTTCAATATTATTGATAAACTTTTAATCTTTTCCATTCTCATTTAAATGAATTTTACCTCAAATAAAAACACAATTTTCAATTAGATTATTATTTTAAAGTTTAAACAAAAACCTCCTAATTAGGATATCTAGTATATACTCCTAAAAGTACATCGATGATAGCCTTATTAATGAAAATTAGTAAAATCACAATCGAAATAGTCTAATAAATTGTGAATGAATTTTCCTCCTACCATCTTCTCCTTGTATAGTGGTTCCGTCTCAAACAAAAGCTCATCAGAAGTTATTTAATGTGATTGATCCTGATTGGTACGAGCTTTAAATGATGATTTGAAATCATGCTTGATTGTCTCAAAATCCTAATTATGATATCTTTTCATCAGTTATAAATGCGCCGACAATCATATCTCAATTAGATAATGTCATGTATCAAACTTGGGATGTCATTGCCAATCTAGTCCATTAGCTATTTCGACTTGGTCAAGCTTTTTATAGGTGAATCGTTTGATTGTGAGAAGCTCAACTGGGCCAGGGTTGACATATGCCCGGTTTAAGACCTGACCCAAGAAACTAAACATGTACATAACCCATCAAGCATGAGTCGTGTAAGGGTGAAAAACTTTCTTGAGTTCTACCAAGAAACCAAACATGTACACAACCCCTAAAGCATGAGTCGTGTAAGGTGAATTTCTTTCCAAGATCTTACCAAGAAATCAGACATGTACATAGCCCCTCAAACATAAGTCGCAGAAAGGTGGAATGCTTTTCCGAAACTAGTCATCTATTAATTGGTCTATCTTGATAAAATCCATTTCTTTGGCAAGTTTGCTCTTATTTCTCAAAATGTGGTGGTTTGGAGTGTGGTCAGCCAATGTTTGTTGGTCGTTTGACTATTTGTACTTCCCTAATGTGATGATGGCCAAACACTTTGGAAATTGGAGTCATTCATGACCTACCCCTATTCCATACAACCCGATTAAATAAACTTAAATGCAATAGTCACTTTGTCTACCACTCAAATCCTATAAATAGGTTCCAACGCCTCTCATTTCTCTCATACTTTCTCCACCTCATTGACTCTTAACAAGTCTTCTTGCGTTATTCTCCCCTCCAAGTTTTCAAATCTTCAACAAAAGCTCACAAAGTTGGGTAATACCACATTTCTTTTATGTCTTTCATTTCTTCTTTCATGGTGTTTATTCGAGAGTGTGGCTTATATGGGAGGGTCATAAAGTCTCATAATGATGTCTAGTTGTGTAATTTGTGGAATAGATGTTTGTGAAGTATGAAATGGGGTACGAGGAAAGTAAATTGGCAGATTGTTGAAACAAAGCTCTTTGGTAGTTATGAGAGCTCATCTAGTGATAGTTCAGAAAGTGAATCTCCTAGTGATAATGACACTAACTTAGTGTTTTCTTCCTCGTGCCTGACTAAAACTCACATGGTGCTTGTAGTTATTAATTAAGGATCCTTTTATGAAGAGGACATGAACATCAACTTGATCTACTTTGAAGAAGGTTGAGTCCAAGTTTAGGGCTAAAGTTGGATCTATCCAATAATTGGAACGAGGATGACGTGATTCTAGAACCTTGTTTGCCATGTAAAAATATTTGTATGTGGAGACGTCGAGGCAGGTGGAACGAGTACTTATATTTTTACACTAGGGTGATCGAGGACTTTAGAGTTGGTATCCTTTTCACAGTCTTGTAGTCCAAAATCTTGAAGATCACTAATGTTTCCCCTTCTATACGAGGAGTTTATTCAGGCTTTCAAGATCCTCCTGTATTGGGGTCTATACATTACCCTTATGACAAACATATTATTTTCTTTCTATGAGACCAAAGGAGTTAATAGAGGTTGGTAGGTCTCAGTGAGAGTCATCCTCGAATAAACTTTTGTCTCTCCTTATACATCCAATTATAAATACTGGAAATATAATTTCTTGCAAGTTAAGGGCAATGCCCGATGTGCGAAGGTAATGTATGTAGAGGGTGGAACTTACAGGTTTCCTTTATATTGTACGGGTGAGTCCCTTGCGATAATAGGCTATGATTCGACCAAAATGAGTGTTGTAGAGAGTGACACGATCAATATTTTATAGTGATGTACCATTATAGGGGTGCGATACCTTTTAAGACTTGATGAGGATCTCCCAACAATGATGATTTTTTTGTGGAAGGTTCTTTCTTGATGCTCTGTGTTTGTATCTTGGTCATGATTAATTCTAACTTGTCTTTTTTTTCCTTTGTCACGCAAAGAAGATGAAAACTTTGTCATTATAAGAGAGGTAAACGTTGATGGCAAAGGCCAAAGCCTGTCAGGCCAAAGTGGAACCAGTTCACCAGAGAGATCCTTCTGACTTCCAAACTAGTGCGGCCAAGAAACACAAATTGACCATTAAGAGGAATGTCATCAATGTAACACCTCACTTTTGATTAATTTGTTTTAATCGATTTATCTATGGGTTTTAATTAAATTATAATAAATTTATAGGATTTTATTAATTATTGTGTAGTTGTAGGGGTATGTATGCTTGAGGTGGGAGTGTAGAAAGAGAGTTATAGTTGATTAGGATTATTTAGAATTTTAAAAAATTAAATAGTTGTAATTTTAGTAAATTTATTTATTTGAAATAATAATATTGGTAGAATATTGAATTACTAGATTTAATAATAAAATAATATGAGAAAGTGAATGTGTAGAGATTTTAATGGCAATATGGTAATTACAAGATTAAGTTGAGGGTAGTAAAGAAAAAGCCTAATTAATCAATAGAAATTAGAATGATATATATAAGAGTCACATTAGGAAAAAAAGTCACATTCTATCAGTACGTAAAACAAAGAGAATAGAGAAAACAAGGCTTCGAAAGAAAGTGTGCTAGAGCTTGAGAAAAGAGATCCTTAATCATCATATTTGCTGAATTTTTCCGGAATTACAAGGTAAGGGTGGAAATTGGATTCAATAATAAGGGTGTGATGAAAGGGTAGAGTAAAATTTTATATGTTAATTGCTGATGTTAAATTTGAGATTGTTGATGTTATTGTATGCTGATTATATGATGAATTTCGTGTTCCTTATATGTGGATAATTTTCTGTCTTGAGAATTGAACCCATATTCATCATTGTTACAATTTCGAAGGTTTGAGGCATAACCTTAAATTAATTACTGGATGATCTAACAGTGTTAAAATTGTGAATTTACTTAATATAATTAACGTATTGCATAGGTTATGATTTTTTGAGCGTCTGAGTTTTTACGGAATCAAAATTAAAGGTTTGGAAGGCCTCCAATAGTGAAAATCGTGTTTTCTAATTTTTGCTGTCCAGAGCGTGTTCGTCGAGCGAGGGTTAGCGAGAGTTTGCTGGGCGAGAGCTAGCGAACAGGTAGCGAGTGACAACAGAACAGGCATAACTTTGGCTCCGTAAGTCTAAATCGAGTGTCGTTCGAAGTGTTGGGAAGATAATGAATAGAACTATTGATTAATATCAGTATTTGAGTTATGTCTGGTATGATTACTGAATGCCATGTGGAAAAATGACTTTTCTTAATTGATTTTATGATTCTCGTGATGATATTAATGAGGTTATTAAATGAGATTGTTGTGATATGATAGAGATGCTTATATGTTGTCGATATAGGTTGATTAAGAGTGACTATTTATTGCAGTGTTATGGTGAAGGGTGTTCCATTCTTATATATATATATATATATATATATATATATATATATATATATATATATATATATATATATATATATATATATATATATATATATATATATATATATATATATATATATATATATATATATATGGTGACTAAGTTCTTGGTGGTATACACGGTCAGAAGAGAGTCTAATGTGTATGTGTTGTTGTTGCATGTTGAGAGTTCATGCATTTATGTTGTCTGAACTTCAGTTCTTTATGATGAGCCTCGATTCTATGGTGATGGATCAGGTGCAGGTAGCTAATTTATATTACAGGAAATCAGTCAAGTGTTACTGTTGTACCCCAAAATTTGTCCTCCCATTTTCACACAAGACATACCCCTAGAGGTTCTCAATTGCTCAAGGTGGACCAAGGATTGACCAGACAACTCTCCTACTAAGGCAATGAACCCCCAACTAGGGTTTCCATTTTCGACAAGATGTTTGAGCTCCAATGGTCTCAAATGCTTCCCATGGTCCTAATATGTCCTCAAGATCATCCATGCCAAGTTTCAAGCTTTGCTCAATAAGTTTGCTCAGACAATTGCTCAAGTATTGGAAAATCAATTGTGTTAGGTCAAAAGTCAACTATAGCCTATATACAATCAAAATTCAATATTTTTTTATCAACATCAACATTTTTAAGTGATATCCATCATTTGATCAAGGGTTGATCATGATTCCTCAAGAAATGCTCCTAATTCATCAAAAGTTAAAAATAGCAAATTAGGGTTTCTATAGGAAAAGTCAACCAAGCTTTGATCAAGCATAACTTTCTCATAATTTATAAGAAATTTTCCAACCAAAGCTCATTTTGAAGATAATCCAATTCCCTACAACTTATCTTCATCCCCCAAGTCCAAGAAATTCACCATTTGAAAGATACAAGTTCATACATTACAGGTCATTTTTAGAAAGTCAATAAAAGCCACTTTTTGCCAAGACCTTTAACATCAAGATAACATCTTCAAAAGCAAAATTAATCAAAAGAGGAATTGAAGTAGACATCTTAGGATTTACAAAAAGTAAAAGATCATCATCATGAGATAAAAATTGATCAAGTGATGGCTTTCCCAAGTTGGGAAAATTTGAGAAATTTCAAGAAATATGCATTGGACAAATTTGAATTTTTAAGGCAATGGCTCAAATTCT